ATAAATAAGAAGGGAGACTATTTCATTTAATAAATGTTTTGTTTTGATATACAAGTTGTTTGGGTTTTTTCATCTAAAAAAGTGACAATTTCTTGACGACCTAATAAATAAGTCCAGTGTGAGAAAGTGCAGATAGGAGAGCAGGTGCCTCTCTTGTGGTTGATTGAAGTTATGACTATATAGTTGTCCAGAAAGTTAATATGGAAAGAATTCTTCTTTGGAGGTTAGACCCCACAGAGAGTGGTGATGGGGATATCCATCCCAACCAGAGAGAGAAGAATCAATGGAAAGATGCAAGTCAATCCGAGAGGAGGGAGTGGTATACCCTGGGATGGGTTGGAGTGTAGAGAGAAAAGTAGAGACTCAAGGGCAGATAAGGGAGCACAATGATCCTCCAAAGACCATGACTGAGAAGAATCAGAGCTCCTAGGGAAACAAAAGTCCCCAAATGCAAGACAGAAGTGCCTTGAATACCAAAATCTCCAAAGAGCAAATATGCATGGAAGAAGAATGAGCCCAACCTATGTGGAAGCCAAAGAAAACCCCCAGATAGACAACGGACTAAGTGGGAGTTAAAACAGACTTTGAAAGTTAGATCAGCCAACCCAGGCAAAAGGTTTCCTGAAGATAATTGAAGGTTTAAATCACCAATTCCTGTTGAGTCAGGGCAACAAGCCAGACAACCAAACCATATTATAATGGAAGTGAAGGTCCAGAAGATGCATATGCCAAGCAAAGGAGCGTATAATTTGAAAACATAAAGGGCCATAGTGAGGCTGAGGGGGAAGGGCATGAAAAATAAAAGACATGACAATTAAGGGCAAACTAGAGAAATGATGGGACACAGTAGAAATAGGAATGTGAAGGAAGGCATTTGAAACATCTGCCCAGGAGAAAGGACCCAATGCAGACTGAGAAAGTCATCCAACAAGTAAGTTACTAAGAGACAAGTTGGTGATAAGGTGACAAACCACAAACTTCATGGGGGTGACAAAAAAGATGGAAATAAAAGTCCTGAGTGGAGTGGGAGACAGGTTCTATCACTCTCACTGCTAACAATGAAGACACCACATTCTAAAGATGAAGAAGATGCAGAGAATCAGTGGGAAGAGGACTGGAAAGATTATGATGAGAAAAAAAAAGGTGGAGTATGAAAGAGAAGAGTGAAAGGATGAGAAAGAATGTGCAGAACCCTAAAGTCACTGGAGAAGGAAGAATGGAGGAAGGTAAAGTGGAAGAGGAGTGCAATGATGGGATAAGAGACCATGATCAGTTCTAAAGAAGATTCACTGTCAAGAGTCATGATGGCTAGCCATGCAGGAGGGGGAGAATGACAAACAGAAGTGAGAGAACAAGGAACAAGAGAGGGTAGCCTGATACGAGTTCTGAATATGGGTGGCAGACAGAAATGTGTGTCGATCAGTGAATCAGAAAATCAACGAAACAAGAGAAAATTGCAGGTAAGCAGCCTACATTCAAGATACCAAGGAGTTGGAAACACCCCTAAAGCATATGGATGAGATGAAGATCCCAGATATAGGAGGAAGGGATATGGATACCCAATTGAGGAGATTCTCTAAATAAAAAACCAAGTGTCTCTACCAAAACTATAGGGGTCATAATAAAGAGCCATAGTGAAGAAGTGAAACAGAGTAAAGTAGTAGGGTAAAGACAGTCAAAAACACACAGCTAGCTGGAAAGATAAACAAACAAAGAGAATGTGGAGCACAATAAGCAGAAAGAAATGAAACAAGAGATTGTGTATCAAGAAATATAAAAGTGCCCCATGACCTGATGCTATAGCAAAGGAGACACAAGGAAAAGTAGAACAATGGGTAATTGAGAAAAAATAAGGCAAATGAAGTAAAACAACCAAATAGACATTATGACATATAGGTAAAAAATAAAACATCATTTACATGATTTATGAACATAGTGAACAAAAAAGACAGAAATACCTGTTCCTCATCAGAGAAAGAAGAGCCAGAAACAAAAACCTAACATTGACTGGCCAAAATCATCCACAGGTGAGGCAGCTTCTACAGAAAGTAAAGAAATAAAATGACTAAGGGTCTGAACTAGAGATGAAGTAGTCAGAATGGAACCAATCACCTGATGCTTGAAGGCAGGGACATCATCAGTTAACTTGTTGTTACACTATGGTTCATCACAGCTTAATAAAGTTATGGACGCTAAGTTATCCATTATATTGAGTGAAACTGAGACTTGTCCCATGAGTATGCTCTGCTAAGTGAGCTAAAGGGATAACAACTAAAAGTCAGGTCCATGAATGGATAGTGTCTCTAGTCACCACTGAGTCAGTTGGAGAAAATGCCTGAAAATAAATGTTTGGACCTTGGAACTTTATATACATATACATCACTTGTACATATTGGTGAATGTAGTCTAAGGTAGAAATGTGGTGGCTAGAGCAAATGAAGGTGCAATAAGGTGGATGAGACAAAAGTACAACAAGGACAAAAGCAATGTAGTACTAAAGAAAGAAAGTAGATTAAGGCAACTAGACACTCATAAAGCACAGTAAGAGACACATCTGAACAGAGGTAGTGCTGAGGAAAAAATTAACCTATGATCATGTTTTAGTGCTTGCAAGGATTACCATGCATGGAAGTCATGTTGCCCTCCTATTGGTGGATGATTACAGCATTATGACAATATGTCATAGGCTGGCACAATACATGTAAACACATGTAGGAGGGGGTGTCTGTTCAAAAGTTGTGGCATGCACAGGAAATTCCCTGATAGTTGTGCACAAAATAACAGCTTTCTGTGGAGCAGAGAGGTAAGTAGCATTTCTGAAATTTACAGTTTCAGAAGGATCAATGCACCGTTTTTCATTTTTTTTTGCAAAGTAAATATAAAGATGGATGTATAAAATATAATCATAATCAAAATACAGTAATAGATAATACAGCAAAGCACCTAGAATTAATATCATACTCAGCAAACAGTTTCAAGATGGAAAATAAATATTTGTACTTGATTTCCTCTAAATTCAATCTGGAAGTTCTTTGCAGACTCCTGGGTAACTCTTCCTCCAAAGTCCAGTTGGTATACTTGGCTAACTTCATTCCACAACGGAGCCTTATTGTAGAGGATGAAGTCACGATACGGGGATGAACCACATCCTGGAGTTCCATCAGCCACTTCTTGGGACCGTGAACTGCGGCTTTTCTTTAACTTGGGGGAACATTTAAAGAATCAAATTAAAGCCAAAATCAGCTAAGAAATGATACAAATTTCATAACAAAAAAATTCAATGGGAAATGAGTTGTTGAAAGAATAACAGCAATAATGAAACTGATATTACTCATCAATTTTATTAATGATTTTCGAAGTCCTACAAAACAAAAGCAGGTCCACTGGAAGACTAAGAAATATTGAGGAAAATTCAGCACGTTTAATGTTCATGGTAATATTTATATGCAGTTATTCTAAATATTTTATATTATTCTATCATCTTTGTAAAGAGATCATAAACTTCAGTAAAATGAACATAAGATGGTAACTACTTTGAAATATATATATATATATATATATATATATATAAGGCAATTTCAAAATCTACTTTACAAAATTTAAACACTATCACATATCTCAGTGGTAAATTAAAAGTTGGAAAATTTAGTCTACTGGATCTATGATCTCTGCATATTGTAGAGTATGCACAATATTCAATAAACCTACAAAATAACTGTTTTCATTTCTTAATAACCACTACTCTAGAAACCCTATTCACTGTCAAAAACATAAAATAAAACTAATCACCTCATAACAATACTTCCTACAATAAAACATTTTAAGTACTGTAAATCAATCTTAATACAAGGTGCAAAAATGGAATGATAACAAAATGTTTTATTTAATATATAAAACTAAAATAACATAAAAACATGGTGGCAGTTTAAAAAACATTATTCACATTCACTCTTGCAGAAGATATGTTACATAAGAAAAAACTAAGTAATCAGTTACTGCTTCAGTTTCAGCTCATTTCTGGTTATTACTTTTTTATGCATCAGCTGTTCCTCCAGTTTCAGTTTGTGTGTGGTTATTATTTTTCTGTGCATCAGCTGTTGCTGCAATTTCAGATTATGTCTGGTTAATAGTTTTCTGTTGCTCCAGTTTCAAATTGTGTCTGGTTATCATTTTTCTGTGCAGTTGACTTTAGGATAAAGGGAATGCATTTAATTTGTTGATAATGATTGTGTAGGGTCCCAAAAATGCTTTTACTAGCTACCAATAAATGTACACATACACTAAACAATGTTATGTTAAATTTACTATGTTAAAACTTATTTGGTTAAAACACTATATATATATACATACATACATACAGTATCCATTGTAGATATATATATCTATATCTACAATGGATACTGAAAAAGCTATATCTCATTAAGTTTAACATCCTGACTATACACTAATTTTTATGTATTTAATGACCCACAGGAAGCAAACAGTGCCCTTCAAATCAAGTAAAATTGTCAACACAGAAGGCTTATTTTTGAAGTTTACCAAAGACTGAATACAAATATAAATAATGATGTATATTTTACAGCTCAAAACACTTTTCAGATGAATGCAAGTACTACACAAATTATGTTGAGAAAAATGCATCATTTTTATCTTTATTTCTTACAAATGCACTTTTCATTGAAGTTTTTGTTTGATATAATGATAGGAAATGCTCACTTAAACTTTGACAACATATTAAGTGTTCACTGTCTGTTCATAGTTTAGTATAATATCTCAATCTCCTGCACGAGGCAAAGTTATCCTTTATATCATTCTGATCTGATATCAACATTTATAATGCATTATTACAGCAAAGAATTCATCATTTAACCATGTCAATAATCAACAAGTCAACATGATTAAGTGCATGTAAACATGTCTAATCACAGGTACAAAATGCTTAGTTTTTGACTGATGGCTGACAGCTATTTTCTACCCTAGTGAAAATAAAGAAACCAGTAAAGAAACAAAGATATTATAAGAAATATCACCAAGTGAGCCAGTGTGTTCCAGAGTTAAAGCAGATGGTTCTGAGAGATATAAATGAATTCAATATGGATTTAAATTTTGTATCTGAATTCAATGGCAAGAGGCATCATATACATTGCCAGTTGCAGCAAATCATTGTTCAAATTATACACATATCCATAAGGCTACAAAATATTATACGCTTATTAGTCAGTGTCCTAAACTACAAGTCTTTTCAAATTCAATCCTGCATTACTTATTATTATTAATTGAAACTGTCGTTTCTCTGAAAAATGCAATAAATCATGTTAGTTTAACGACTTGCTGAATGTTATACAACATTTTACATGATGTTATTTTTACATCGGTGCAATAATACATGCATTAATTCAATAATGGCTACTTGATCTTTACATTACAAAAGTCCTATCTGCATGGTTGTCACCCTGAACTATATTTGGATTTGCTTTTAAACTAATGTAGAGTTATGCTTACCTTCTTACGAATATAGGCCTTCTGCAGGCTCTGGAGGTCTTTAAAACCTTCTTTACCAAGTTCTTCTCCACTCTGAGCTCCTTCATCTTCTGAACTTTCCACAGACTGCTCTTTTCTTGCCTTTCTTAGTAATAGAGGACTAGACAATAATCCTTTTTTCAGTGAGCGAGCTCGGCGCCTCAGTATGGGAGAAGTAGGGATACTTTTGCTTGTAGGAGAAGAGGGAAACTGATTATCTACTAGAATTGCCTGTGGTAGACTACTACGATGCTCACCAATTCGTGCTGATGGTGGAGGAGATACTGAAGCACTGCGTTTGTTTTCTGCTAGAGAAGGATAAGTAACTAGATGTTTGCTGTTATCAAAACTAAAAGTTTCTTGATCCCGATGAGAGGCTAAGGGGCTTGAGCATTTGGAATGAAGAGAGCACCATACCCTGGGGATGTCACACTTGCATGTCAGCTTGTCCATAGCCCCAGGAGCCAATAACTGATTTGAAGAAAACGATGTATCACATTTGCTGCTGCTGGACAGTTTTAAATCAGAATCATGGGCAAGAGAATTCGACAGAGGTTTAGAGTGTACTTTAAGACGTGCCTGAGATTCTCTTAGTGAAATATGAGTCCACATATCCCTACTTACCGTAGCTTCTGTTGTATGTAGATGACCAATGCTTCGACTACAATGTCCTAGTAATACAACTGGAGAGGCAGGACTTGACTGGCTGCTTCTAACAAGATGAACATCTGTGGGTGGATCCTCAGTATCTTCATCAATAAACTTGATGTCTCCTGCTTTGTCAGCCCACCGTGGTAAGTGTTCATGACTACCAGAATAGACAGAAGGAAGCCATTTTGAAGCAGCAGCAACAGGTTCACCAACACGTGACATTGAGGCAACAGCATCGACAACACCTCCACCTACAACCACTTCCTCAGATGGAGAAAGAAGAACTGGACTAGAGTATGTTTCATCTCCTACTTTAGAAACAAATGGCAAGGAATGAAGCAATCCATTTTTAGAACTCTCCTTTACAAATGTTTTAGCCTTACAATATGGATGAATATCTAAGCTATGGACACAGTTGGGTACAGCAGCAGTTAGTCCTTTTTCACTGTAATTGAGTTTTTTGTTTGCCCTTAACCGACGATCTTCAGAGCCTGATGAGGGTGAACTAGAAGCTGAGCTATCAGTCAAGTTGCCTGGGGATGAAAGATTCTCTTTATTCATCAAGCTATTTCTACATATACTTCCATTATTCAGTGATGAGTCAGAATTTTCACCAGAAACATGAAATGTGGAGTTCACACTTTCCAGACCAGGTAAACAATTCATTTTTACATTAGAATTTGCAATATGATCTGACAAATGTTTTTTCTTAGTTGGACTAGAATTACTGCTCAACACATTCCCCCTTTGATTAACTGTAGGGGTCAGACCATTTTGAAAAGTGGGATGTGAAAATGGGACAGAAGCACCACTAATGACATTACCTTTGGACTTTTTGGCTTGGATGGAAGGGCCACATACATGTAGGCTATGAGATGAATTGTGAAGCAGTGTGGAGGGAATGTTATGGTTAGTATCACAGGAAAATTCTGAGATGCACTGACAGTTTGTCTGCATTCCTATAGAACTAGCCTCCTCGGGAGTACTGGCAAGCCTTAAGACACGGATATGGCCTTCAGACGTTGTCTCTAATGTCAGGAATTCTTCAGTAGGAAAGAAGTTTACATATTCACCTGCATCTCCATTAAAATGTCCTGAAGAGCTGATGTTATTTGACTGAGGTGGGTGAGAGTTTCTCCTCTGAGGAGTCATAGGAGCAACTGGAGCACTAGTTTCACAACTCAAAGCCTCCATATCTGCATCAGAATTGACATATATAAACATGAGCACACAAATATTAATCTAAGAATAAACTCCAGCTAATGTTTTATTTACATGATGAAAATACTGACACTTATTTATAAAAACAGGTTGTTATTTTTCAGTCAATAGGTTAGTACTAAAAATGACTATCATATGTACAAGATCAACACCTATTTGAAAGGAATAAAAACTACATACAAAACTTAATTTTATAGGTAAGCTCTAAATTACTTGGAAATCTATAAACATACTACCTTACTAAAGTACTAGTGTTAGGATGAACACACAAAAAAAACATTTACATATCAAAATACAGGCTTACGAAATTTGGAAGAAATTATCTTAAAGTACATAAAATATAACTTTTTATTCTAAGTGAATAATTCAAATTCACCAAAGTTTTCTTCCTTGTTTTACAAGATAAAGTGGTTACCAACTGTTCTTGGAACCATAACATATCGTACAAGTTTACTACATCTACAACCTAGACAAATGACATTGGTCATTAAGGAATTGCTTGGTCCACAATCATGTGATAGCCAGGAACAAAGTGTTAGTATAAATGGTAATAGCAGTGGTACTGTGGTGTTCTCGGAGGATGAGGATGAAGTTTTTGGTAATTGAACTTATTATGCTTTGACATGAAAACATTTCAAAATTAATATTACTGTCAATTATACTTTTGCCAAACTCATTATTTTAAACTTAGTTCCCCAGATGTTAGATGTCACAGCTACAATTTTTTCAGTCTATAAGAACAACATAAAAACATTTAATTATTCTATGTTATTTATCAAACACATGAATAAATAAACTTTGGCTATAAACTAGAACAGTAAAATAGTGCTAATATATTGCTGGCAATTGTCAAAAAGTAACCAAAATTTGATGGTGGATTAAGCCTAAGATTATATGTACTCTCACATTGTGTCTTGAATATTTCTTTCATCTAATTTGACAGCACTTTTTGAACAAATGTAATTCAATGTAACTTGTAAGTTAAAGCAGGAGATGCACCAAGTTAAAAGGTCAGTTTTAAGTAATTATCTTATGAAATTGTCTATGTATTTTTCCATAACACTAGACACTCGTTCACCTAAAACCTCTGGACAAATACACACCAAAAGATGACCTCTATTGATTAATAACAGAAGTGAAAAGGTAAGATGACTTTGATTCATGCTGGTTTTATCCTTATTTTTTAATGAGATATAAATTAAATATTTTGTATCACTTTTTTAGACCCATTATTATGAAATCAATTTTTCTATAGTAACCATGCAATATTAACTTCCTTAAGTTTTTCTTTACAATACCATGAAAACAAATCCTCGAAATAAATTGTACTTAGTGATTTAATACACACTCATTTTACCACACTTCATGAACAGCACACACAGTAACAAAACAAACACATGACAGCATTTATGTAATATAAGGATTAAATGAAAGTGATATGTAAAATGTGAATCAAACCTCAGGAAGATCATCCAAGTATAAGAGCTCTCCATGTTGAAAACCAGTGGTTTCTCCTTCTCTTTGTTGAGCAAGCCTTCTCTGTTTTCGTCGACGCTGCATTCGAGGTGATGCACAACCCTCCTCAACCTCACTATCTGATGAAGTTGGTAATGATGCAGTACATGATGATGAAGGACTGAATGGATATGTGAGCATAATTGGAGACTGAACGTTACTGCAACGATGGCAACCATCTCCTAGATCTCCAAAACAGTTTGAATAATAAATAAAGATAATTAACTAATAAACATCACTGAGTGAAAAAAGAAGGAAAATAACTGAATTAGGAAATGAGTGTTTTAGTTTTAAACTACCCCTATCTTACATGAAACTACAATAGTTATGAAGTTTTATCTCAATATTAATCCTGAAGTTAAATACTGAATCACAGAAAAATATATTAAATGGGAAGAAATCAATGTAATTAATTCTTACATTATCTTCTTGTAGTAGCACATTAAATACTGAAACAACTGATATACTATGTGTGGATATAATAAAGTCATTAATCCTTGTATCATCAGCTTTTAGTAATATATTAAATACTGAATCACACCTAAAGCAGCAACATGTTGAAACAATTAACATTAATCTTTAACAGATTCATTTGTAGACATGCAGTAAGTACTATATCACAGCCAAATTAATTAAACTTGGAAAAAAATTCATAATTAAACCTTATCATTTTATAGCAATATATCATATACTGTAGAGCTACAAAACAAGCTAGATTTAGGAAAAAATAATTTGATAATAACCTTTATCAATCCATAGTAATACAATAAATATTGATCCACAGCCCAAAATATAGCTACACATTGATACAGTTAGAAATAATCAGAAAGTAAAAGTTATACATATGCTATTACATGAAATTTAATTCAAAATTATTAATTAGGCATAATTATCAGAAGGAAAAAAAGTCACAGGTTTGAAGCAGATTTAGAGATTTTCATAACTGTATGGAAAATGTTACTAAGTATAGGCAAAACATATGGAAAGTATGGTTATTTACAAGGGGATTAGAATATGCATGGTTCAGGGTAGACAACAACAGTACAGAAATATTCCATTAGACTCAACATGTGTAACTTTATCGGTTTTCCTTTATATTTATTGATCAAAATTAATACATAACAGGACGTTTTTTTTTCAAACTTTTTTTTTTTTTCACTCTAATACCCAGTACAGCTGCTGCAATACTTCACAAGATGGACTGACATGGCTAAGTGTGAAAATAATTTACAGGGACTGGCAGACCTACTAATGCGTGAACAATTCATGATCACATGCTCCACTGACATGTCACTGTTCCTAAAGAAGAGAGTACCAAAAGATGTGGATGAGATGACCAAATTGTTGGAACAGTATATGGAAGCCCATGGAGGTAGTATAACTGGCAAGTCCAAGAATAACCAGTTAAAGTTGAAACCAGGGGTGGCTGACCAAAAACAGGATATACCAACGGTGACAAGAACTCAAAGGACAAAAAGTAAAAGAGATACTACATTTGTTATAAAATGGGGCACATCGTGAATGAGTGCAAATCTGTCACCAACAAGCAACAGCTGCTAGGCTAGAGGAATTTGAACATATCACCTAGCTCTACATAACACAAGAAACTGTTCATGATAACAACAATTCACCTGGACTTTAAGTAACTGCATACTTTTCCCAAAAGAAAAAATTCATTGAAATTTTTTTTTAATACCACTTGCTTTATATAAAAGCAGATTGAATTTGACACACCATACTTTTATGATAAAAAATATATACACTTAAAAAAAATAGAAATACTGTTTACTAAAAAAATGACAATGCTTTTCCCAAATTCTAAGAAATGCACATTAGTTTTTTTGCAAAAGAAAACCCAGAAGTATCACAAAAACCACATACAATTCATAGAGGTAACGTGGAATAAAGTTTTACCTTTCAATGATATATATATAGACACACACACACGTATATATATTTTTTATGCAATTAGATGAAAAGATACAAATGTTTAGGAATTACTCCGTGAACTTCAGCACATCAGAGTTAAAGAAACTTCTACAGGTTCTTCTCTGGCTGTATACTTTAGTCTGGAAGTTGAATTGTTCCATATTTACTATCGTAAAAAGTGCATGAATTTTCTCTTTTATCTGATTCATAGAAAGTCATAAAATATGGCAATTACAGACACCTTGTACTTTTTTTTTTAATTAAAAGTTTACCAACTCACTGTCAATAACATAAAAAGTTGCACACATTTATCAAAGTAAATACACACCTGAACTCTTAGGATCAAATATGACAAATTCAGGTCGAAGTTTGCTGGTTCTTTTTCCTTTAAGAAGTGGCACCAAACCTCCCAAGTATTCAAGAAAAAGAGTATAGGTGGCACTACCAGTCAAAATATCATCATCATGTTTCACCATTGTGCAATGAAGGCGAATGTTGTTTGCAGGAGGCTGAGAGACAAACTCTCTCAGTCGCTGAGGATCAGGTAGATAGCACTATTAATAAAAAACAAATAGTTGTGGTTTTTTTCTTTCTCCTTCTAATTTCTAGAATTGTGGATATATTTACTCCCCCTTATTTCTTACAATTTGAAACAAATGTACTAGATCGGTTGAAATTTAAGCAAAATATACTGTTGAGCAATATTTGTCTAATTACTACTAAGTACTTTGATTCATGATACAGTTTTTTAAACTTTATCTTCTCAGTGACAAAAAGTATTAATTTAGCTTTGACCTCTGTATTTTTTTTTTATTACCAAAATTACATTTCATATGCCAAAATATTCTGTTTTATGGAGGGAAAAAACAGCAATAGCATCACTTAAATCTCTGCAAACACCACAAATGCTTAGAAGAAGCACACATTTTGTGTGATTATAGTCGTTTGCTAAACACACATGGAGAGAACAAGTCTGTTATAATTATTCATGTTTTACCTCATACGATTTTATTAATTTCTTCCAATGGAAATATTAAACATAAGAAGAGTTCTTAATCATCACTTAGACAAATTATAATATTCTCACGTTGTATCAAATTTCCTGCCAAAAAATTCACAGAAATTATCAATTTACAGCCCCACAGCTGAGCCATAAGAGTTTAATATTTAGTACAGAAAAAACTTTAAAATATTACAATAAAATTAATGTACTGACTATATAAATTTTCTTAACATAGTTACTTTTTCATTTGAATCATGTTTCTGCTATAGGAGTTTTAATTTTGTTAAATACAGACTGGAAATAGTTCCTATTCCAATATTAGGTAACCATGTTACTTTTGGATTATCAGCAATTGGAATTTTCAATGAACAACACTTTATACAACACACATGGGCTAAATGGCCAGGTCAGAGACCTCAGCATTCATATGACCAGAACAGAGGTAGCCAACTGTCAGCAATCACAGTCTTTCAAACTAAATAATGGGATTTACTTGTATAATATGCCTATAGCTGAAAGTGTGGAACATGTTCTTGAATCCTGGACCAATTAATGTGCAGTCCAACATGCTAACCATTAGGGCACTGGATTACCTGAGCCAACACCATGCAACAAGTGTGAATAAACTCCATTTCTTACAATGATAACTTTTATCTATGTGGGTAAGTAGCTTAAGTAATTCAAAAATGATATAATTAATTATTATTGGAGAGCAAACAGTAAATAGAAATACACATAACAGTTGTGACTTACTACAGATATTTCTTAAATAAAAAAGACAGTTAAAGACTATATCAGAAGCTCAAAATATATATATATCTTTGCTATGTTTTTTTTTTTCATTTTGCTGATGAATGGAAGGGCGTAACCAAGTGAGTTAAAAAAAAAGTACCAGCCTGAGAAAGGTTTAAAGAATAGGAATGTTTTAGCCATGGTACTAATTGCTGTAATGTAACAACATAAATAAAAACTGTGAATGAAGTAATATCAATTATTCCAGTTTAATATGTAAAATAAGAAAGCATCATCATAAACAGCCATTATAAGAATATATTTGGACAGGTTAAATTTCAAGATAAGCATGGTTCCCACATCGTAGTCAGAATGAAATTCTCCAACTTTTTTCCAGACCTTTCCCTGACCAAAATATGATATTCCATGACTATTTGACCTCTGCACTTAATGTATCATTGCACTATAAAACTATGTGAAATTGCAAACCATTCTTCACATATTATTATTATGTAGTATGTTAAAACTACCAGTTTGCTTAAATGTCATCTTGCAAAGTTTCAATGCTTTATCAATGATGCTTTATTAAATTACTGATACTTTATCAGAACAAAAGCAGTTTATCCATTTGTTTTATAATAATGCATACTGATCACACTATTTAATTTAAATTTAAATTACAAAAACATTACTACAACATTTGTGGTTATTAAATTTCAACTTTTAATACACAGAAAGTGCATGTTTACTGTTGTAAAATGGAATATTCTTTAACAAGTACACTTCTCATATGTCAGATATCTTTTATTAAAGCAATATTTTCTGCTGTGTGAACACATACAAAAATGTACACACTTTCAAATGCTAAACAAACAGAGCAGTAAACTCATATTTCCAATATCTACAATACAACTGCACACATTAACAAAGCCATTCACTGCTCCATAGCACACTATATTATTTTTGCACATGCCTTGAAACTGTATCAATTTCATCTATATCAAAAGAATTGAAAACTTTGAACAAATGTGGTCACATATTTATTGATCGATCACATTACCAAATGTGGTATCAGGTTTATGCAAGTTTAGTCCATTCATAAGATCACTAGATTATACTTTCAAATGACTAAGTTTTAAAATCTAATTATACAAACAAGACACTTCATACACAGAATCAGACCTGCTGATTAAACATCCACAATGTTTATAGTTTCATTACAACACTATGCCATTATGACGTAAACTGTACATAGAGGTTACTGTAATTGTCACAGACATGAATGTTACTGTACACAAACATGTTCATTACTGACTGTTATATTGCATTACAGTATTACACTACTCAAGTGTCAAGTTTTTCATTTTGTTCTAACATAATGTTGCTCATCACATTATATAAAACCTTCTACTAAGTAAAACTTTTACTAAAACTACTTACATTATTTTTATTCTGGTATAATCCTTGAATTTAGATAAAAATGACAAACACTAACACATTACCCATACTTGACCACATTAGCACTACACAGTGTCCATAATCGGTAATATCTCCATCTGAAGAGAATGCTGTAGTCTGAAAGCCCATAGTTTCAAAACAATACCAATACTATTAATTTATTTCTGAAAGCTGTGCATGCTTATCTTAACCTTCACTCTTTATTTCTTCCTGTTCCTAGCATCTTGTTTGTTGCTTGATAAACAGTAGATTTTCCTAATATATTAGTCAGATATCCGATGCATTAAATTACCGATTATTAGGTAAACATGATGTATTCAGTTATTCAATGGTTTATGTTTAACTATTTCTACAAATATTTATGTATAACAAATAGTACTGCATTCTTGGAAACCCTTACATGTACCATACGGTTAATTACTCTCAATAAAACATTCAATATATTTCAATATTTTCTTAATCTGATTTCTTCCCAAAATGCTTTATCTTCAAATTACTGATATAGTACTGATATAGTGATATACTACCCGTCTGTTGGAGATATCGCCTGTCAACGATCCCTACTCAAGTTCTACTAAGCATCATGATGTCATGTGCTGTAGGCAATGCTTAATGATGTACATTTTGTTTGATACTGAATTAAACAAAATTACTGAAAAAATTATTACTTTATATAATTACTATAGCTATTTTGGATAATTAATAGAATACGTATAAGAACAGATACAAAATAAAAATAGCAATTCACCAAAACCGTGTAGACTTACTCTATCTTTAAACTTTCAGGCTTTACTGACATGTTTCAAATTCTTCCTATACAAACAAGTCAAATACATAATATACCCAGGGCATTAATTGTTCCTTCTAAGACTAATGTCACATGGACTGTTTTATTAATGTGTATAAATTTGTAAGTTCAAAATGACTTATTTAATGAAAACAGCTCACATCTAAAAACTAACTTGGTTAGGGGTTTTAGGTTGTTTAAGAAGATGAGACAAAGCCCTGTCCAGAGCCCTTACACTATGTTTAGGTGGAAACCTAGCATACCTTAATGTAATCTATTATGGTTGTCTTCATGCTACATGACAATTAAAGGTAAACAAAAATACTGCTGTAGACAAAACAAAGTTTTTGCATAAAGTATGCATATGAACTTGCTAAATTCACCAAAATTAATCTCTATGTAATTCTTTGACACAATTTATTTTTTCACCATTTGGGTCCTAGAAATGTCACTGAATAACATGAAATTCATTGATTTTTTCCAAGTTTTTGTCTGTATAATGAAATTCTCTGATGTTTCCTGAGCCAGGAACGTAAAATATAAAATTCACTGACCCATGGAAACTACAGATAATGTTTTAGATATTTGCATCAATACTGTCACATCAATGTTTACCTTTATCGTTTGACTAAACAAGTGAGACAATAGAATTTTCAGACGACGAGGTAGTGGAAGTTTCTGCATTTGGTTCTCTTCTGTTAGAGAATTTTGGACAGTGAGACAGGACAGAAGTTGGAGAGAGGCTATTTTTTTCGTTACCCAGCCTATGTGAATCGTATTCCCTGTGGCGATGAGGAATCTTTTGTCATTATGACCCCAGGTTATTGCTGAAACTGGACTCTGGAGATTGGAAAGAATAAAAATTAAATAAAATCAGATATTTGTGTTTATTATAAACAAACTAAGATAAAAATATTTTCTTTTTCAAAAGCAAAAAATACAAACATGGACTAAAAGAGCATTAATTTGAAGATAGCAGCTATCTAAGGTGGAAAAATAAAAGTTATTTGCAAGTGTACCATCTGCTGGGTAATTAATAAAGAATCAATTTTGAAGCTTTTATTGCTGATTTGTGAAATATTTTTTATTATAATTGTTATCTATTAACTACCAGGCCCCTAAAACCAAACTTCTATAAACTTTAGAAATTGTGTAAAAACCTACAAACAGGCATTAAAGAATATTCTAAATAACTGGTTAAGACACAGATGTATATCCTCACCTTAATAACTAAACATTTGGACAATTTGCTTTTCTTTAACAAACATCATCAATATTTCTTTTAACTTGATTTATAAAGTAATTACTGGAGTAAAACAGTATTTGGGCCATGAGTACATTATAGGTAATAATATCAGAAATGTACACACTACAGTGATCAATTTGATGTACAAGAAAACAAAGTGAAACTAAAAGGATTACAATGGGCGTTTTGTTTTCTCAATTTTCCAAATTTAAAATTGAGTTAGAAAGAAGAAACAAATAAATAGCTTCACTGTTGATAGATGTTTTAAATAATATTGTGCAAAAGCCACTAACTTGGATAAGGTTTATATGCACAAGGGAAACTACAATAGCTCTCTCTTCAAGCTGAAAAAAACAACAACCTTTGACTTGCTGAACATGTGTGATAATTAAGCATACCTGAAAAGCTGTTGTTTGAGATGCTTAGTTTTAAGATCTGCAAATGAACAGTCATTTCTAAATGTTGTTCAAAGGCCTTTCACCCATGATTATATTAGTTTACATATTTTTGATAAAATTTCTCATAAAGCCTTTCTTTTTTGTGTCTAATTTTTTGATAAACTGCTCAACAGCTAATCTGTCTAACATCCATTCTGACCATTCCCACATATTTTTAATACCTTTGTCAAATACTTTGGTATCAAAATCAATGATATATTGCACCATTTTTCTAGCCTTGTTGTACAGTTGAATAATGGAAAGATTCATTTGTGTTATTCTGAACGGGATATTGGTTAAAACCAATGACAGACCAACTTACATACCTGTAATCAATACAGTAAAGGTTTGGTGGAGATGTTAAGATACCAACGGCAATGGAAAAAAATTTTAGAACATACAGTTAGCCTTATTCCCTGAAACTTTCTCTAAAGATTTACACATTTCACACAGTCTCTCGACAAGAAAATAATGAAATACCGAAACAGAACACTACTGACATTAGAAAATGAATAAGTTTCTTATATATATATATATATACAGAGAGAGAGGGAGAGAGAAAAGGAAGTAACTAAGTTCAACACCTGTGTGTAAGGTATCGTTGTACTGAATCGAAGTGACCCAGAATCAGTGTAGAAGTGGACACAATTCATAAATTGGACATCAGAATCTTCTTTGATTCCTGCAACTGCTAATAAATCACCATTGTTTGACCACTCTATTAGCATGTCTGTTGAGTAAAAAGACATCAAATGACTCAAATCAATTAGAAAGAAATACAGCATTAACATTTGAACAAATTTATTTACTCATGCAATAGAGACAAGGTAAAACTGAATAATGCCTTTGAAGATATATCATAAGATACCAGATATCAATGAATTTTTATATTTCTTTTACCTAAATGCAGTTTTTAAAGATGTTTAATAAAAACTAAAATTATATGTTAAAATGCACAATTAATGAAAGAACACAATATATTCTTGAGTCTAGTACAATTAGAGAGAATTTAAAAAGGGGAACAGTTTCACTATTTAGTTTAATGTTAAGAAAAGCTTATTTTAAAATGTATACTAATCAATCATGTTATTTCAACACTAACTCCTACAGATACCCTTTTTTTAACATTTAAATGAGGTCTGAAAAACTATTTATTAAACAAAACCTACCCTTTAACCCTGTTACTATGATAATAGGTGATACATCATCGTAGTTTTTCATGATATAAATAGTACCATTTTGAAAGCAAATGGCAAGGAAGAAAGTTTTGGTTTCTGTGCTTCTTGCTGAAATGCAATAATTACAAGAAATTAAAAAATTATTATTAATGCAATTCTTTGAGAATATATTATTCCAAGGTTACGTACAGTCAAACCATGCATATTTGTTTCCACAATTCAAGCGAGCTACATCAATAAAACAACCTATTTTAAAAAGAAAGGTCACTAACAACTAAAAAAAATTTATCTTGGCATATTTATATCTAAAAGTATGGTAACTTCTAGTCCAGTTACATATCTGTCTCCTGAATTCATTATCACAATTTTGCATATAATGAATATAATTTGACTAGCGACGAGAACTGTGCAAGTTAATAAATATTCTAATTTCATGAAAGAGTTAATAAAAGTATCATAAAATTTTTCACATAATTCTGATGTAAGATGATTTACACATCCTAGCTTTCCAAGACATTTAATGAGTCTTTTTCATTTTTACACAAATCACCATGCCTTATAATGGCTTACACTATTAAACACCCCGGTTGACTGAAACTTCTTACACATGTGTCATTTACTGAATGATTTCCTGATGAAATGCCATAGTTTTCTGAATTAGTGAAAATTTTTGTCACTTGCTATGTGACAATTTACATCACTAAATATCTTATTTTAACGAAGCACTGAAAGGTTTGTCACTTGGTATGTGATGATTAACAAGGTTTGTCACTTGCTGTATGATGATTAACAAGGTTTGTCACTTGCTATATGATGATTAACAAGGTTTGTCACTTGCTGTATGATGATTAACAAGGTTTGTCACTTGCTGTATGATGATTAACAAGGTTTGTCACTTGCTAT